ATAAGTTGAATTTAATCCATCCATTCTTTATTATAGAGAATATTATATATTTTTTTTTTTTAATTTTGTTTTTGTAACTCTTTGTTGTAAAATGATAATTCAATCTCTTCATTGTTTAAATCTATAATTATTTTATTAGGTTATACTTTATAGGATTTGTATTTAAAATTTCTTTAAGTATAAATATTTCTCTTATCCAATTATTACTATATTTATCACCAAATGTCCTTTTACAAGCTTTTATTCTTACTCTATAAAATACACTAAATTTAATTTGTTGTTTAGGTTTGTTTTTTGTAGAAATTAATTTGTGTAGACCAAGGTCTTCGTTAGATTGATTTACTTCACAAGGTTTCATACTAATAGATCGATGTATGTTTTTGAAATTATATTCATCAAATAAAGTTTTTAAAATATTGTTCCATTTTTTAGATTTTTAACTTTCTCATTTTCCGGTTTAATGTTCGGTTAAACCTTTTAATTATTGCCTATTTTTCTTCGTTTTGTGCGTGATAGATATGAATACCATATTTTTGCAAATATTTTTTCAAATTCCATACCTTTATCAGCGTGAAGTAATTTTGGTGCTTGATTATTTTGTAATTTAGCTTGTTCTATTATTTTTTCAAATGCTTTTGAAACACTAATTCCATCTTTCTTTTTGAATGGTAGGTAAAACTCAGTAAAATTTTGAAAATGTATCTATAATAACAGTTATGATATATTTATAACCATCATTTTCATCAGAATAACTAAATCAATAGCCCATAAATCTTCAGTATCTATAGTGATAATTCTTCTTTTAGGAAATCATATCCTAACTTATTTATATAGTTATTTAGCTAATACAAGTTTGTCAGTATCATTTAATCTTTTATTTAAATTTATAGATTCATTAGAGTTAGTTTGTTCAACTTGACTAGCTTTTATAAATTTACTTTTATTTGTTTTACATTTGAAACATTTTGTTGAAATTCTCCAAATCTACCATTGATAGTTTGAATCTCAATTAGATTAATATTTGTTGTTCTTTTTTTACATTTGTGACAATCTATGGCTGGTAATAGTTCATCCTCCATTTTATATTAGAGATTATTTTTTATAGAATTGTTGTATTAAAAAATAGTCAGTTTATTATTTTTTAAATAATTTTTTTATAATTTTCAAAAATTATTAACACTAATGTCTACATAGAGGCGGACCACCATAATATTGAAACTTATTATCAGTTAAAATATATGTCTTGTTGTAGTATCTTTATGTTTTTTATAAAAATAATCATGATCTCTCGCAGCTTCATCTAATTTATTAATAGGTTTATAATCTTTTTCTAATTTTGTTCCCGGTCCTAAATAATTATAACCAGGCCAATGCAACTGAGGTAAAGATGAACAATTCAAAAAATCATTAAAAAACCTGAACCATTTACAATTTTCTTTGGTAAATGTGAAGTATACGACACCTTTAATAGAAATATTAATTACCTTTTCCATTTTTCTAATACGAAAATCAAGAATTTCAAGTTTTTCTTTATGATAGCTGTTTTTTCCTTATCTTTCTTCAGATGATATAACATGACAATTGTAGTCTGTCAAATTATTGTTTTATTTTATATGCCTACTAACTTATTTGTTGTTTCTTTTAGTAAATTTAACACAGATTTTAGTAAACATTCAATACCTTTTTTGAGAGTATCAATTAATTTTTCCATGTTTTGCTTACACAAATGAAGGATAGCAATTTTTTCATTATGAAAACCATCATTTAAATCTATAAGTGAACCAATAATTGAAATAAGGATTGACTATTTTTCAGAATTTTTATATAAAATAAAATATTATTATTAATAAAAATATTAAAACTTATAACTTCATAACTGATATTGTAAGGCTGTGCCAGTTAAGGTAGGTAGGTAGCAGTGTTGTAAAAAATACTTTTAAAAAGTATTTGAATACTTTTACTCTAGTACTTTACAACCCTGGTAGGTAGGTTCAGTATAATTATATTTTAAATCTGCATACCATAATTGGAGATAATTACTATAAATAGAATTCAGTAATTTATCCATAGTAAATAATAATTAATAACTCTTAAGTAAAACTATGGGAGTATAATTGTGTTATAACAATTTTTTTAGTTGTGCCTGAAAGAGTTAAAGCTCTTGTTGCCTGCAATATTAAAAATAAAAAAAAGAGTATTAATATTTTTAAAGTACCTAGGTACCTAACTTATAAATACATATTTAATTTGACTATAGTGAGCCTTTCTCAGTTGTTACGGGTGAAAAACATAATAAAAAATACTCTGAAGTATTAGAAACACCAGGGTCCAGGGTATGTATTATATATTGTTTTATTTTTAATTTAAAATTATACTTATAATAGGTAATTTATTATATTTATACTTATACAGAATATTAGGTACTTATTTTAAATATTTTAAATTTCACACAGTTGAATAATAGAATGTATTTTATACATATAATGGAATGTTAGAGATTAAATAAACATCTAGATGCTGCATTTAAAATAAATTAAAAATAATCAACAAAAGCAGCCAGAAAAAATTTAAGAAAAGAAAATACGCTGAAAAGACACCTGATCAGTACGACATATAGGACAAACAGCATTATGTCCTGTTTATAACTGAATCATACAGTTGTGGCATATCCAAGCATGTCCACATGGAAGAACTATATATTTTGTTTCATTTTGTTCCAATGTTCCCTCAATACACACCATACATAATGACCTATTTTTTGCAGCTTGTTGATCATTATTAGCATCTAAAGGCAATTCGGCTACTTCCCTCTCCTGTGGTACTGGCATAGGAATGTTATAAATTGGCTCATGTAGAATTACCAGTGGTATATTTATTTGTGGATCATCTAAAATTGGTTCCTCTGCATCTTCATCATTATTTATATCCCAATTTCTTTGTCTTTGTTCATATGCTGCACTTGCATAAGAACAGCGTCGAAGGAATTGCCAAATAGATATTAGGCCTAAATCTAATTGCTCAGAAGCAGTTTTTATTATTCTCGAATTTACCAAAAACTTAATTCTTAAATGCCTTGTTGGAACTAGGTTATTGTTGAGTTGATTTACGATGACGTGGTAATTTTTGTTTAAGTGAGTTAAATGGTCTGAAATAAATAAATTAAAAGCATCATTACACCTATATTTTATCAGACTGATGAAATTGAACATAATTTAATATAGGTAACTAATTCAATCACTATACATAACTCCTCTCACCCAAAAATATCGATAAGCTTGGGTGGTTAACTGAAAATTTCATTTACAAAGCGTTATGAAAGCTTTCTATATTGTTGTTGGTTCTGTGTGGTAGTCCATACATGGAAACAATTTCTGGACCAACGTTCCTTAACCAATATCTAAGTAGGTATATAAAATAAAATATGATAGTTTGAAATATAATATTTTTAGTTATAAGGATATAATTTTTATATTTTTAAATAGTAGTAGTTTAATAACAGTTTAAATTATATAATAATTTTTTTCTTTGTATTTTATTCTATATAAACAACATACCTATGTATATACTATATATATATTATGTATTATTTTTAATAATTTGAGTGTAGGTATATTAAATATATATTATATATTGTAGTTAGATGTACTAATTACCTTTGATAATAATTAAACAAATTGTCTAAATTAACTGCATGGTTTCGGGCAAATGCCGTAATCAATAGAAATCCATTTTCAATACTATGAGCTGGTAACAGTGGAAGGCACATCAACAATCGTAGAGATTTTAAAGCATTTTCATTATTATTAATATAATTTAAATAGTTCAATTTCTTCATTTTCTTCCACACGGCCTTTGTAAAAAAAACAAATCAAATTAGGAAGTCATAGAAAGTAGATACATAATTAATTACTAATTATTGTTTACTTGATTATGATGGAACCAACAACCGACAGATCGGGCTCCTGGAAATGTGGATTCTAAGACATCTCTTAGAGCAGTTTCATAATCGGTAATTATTACTTCTGGTCTCAATGTTGGTAGTAAATTGTTTTTTATGAACCGCAAAACACATTCATATTAGTTCCTTGTCTTTTTTTCCATAAGGACGTAGATGATAGGTATAGACTAAACATGTTAAAGTTTTTCTATCACTATTGAAGAAATCTAAACATCTCAATCCATGAAAATTTATTTATTTTACCTAGGTCTAATTCATTATGTAATGAAAAATTATACACATTTTACACACTATAATTCTATAAAAGTATAATGTTAAGATTAAAAGACTGATTTTTTGAAATGGATACCTACCTACTCTACTTTCAATATTAGAAATGAATTTTTGTGGTATTTGATTTAAATTATACCTATTTATATCTATATGTATTGACTATTGATTATAGATTATTGTTAATTTATTATAATATATTATTCATTCATTTTTATTGGCCATTGGGTTATAACTTATAATATTTTATTTTTGAAAAAAAACTTACATAGTTTGGAATCATGCAATGCAAAGTTAATAACTGATACCCCATATTTGCAGGGACAACTTTGAAAGTAGCATCGGCGTGGACTTCTTGAATATTATTTTCTAGGACAGATCTAATCAATTGTGGACATGCAAAAATAACACTTGTTTTATTTTCTATATCCTGGATACATCCTTTAAAAAACCAGCATCACAACACCCAAATCTCTGTAACTGGCCATCTTCAAATAATGTTGACAGCGCCCTCGTGTTAGCAGGTAATCTTGGTAAGGAATTTCTCCTGGCTAAACGCATAATTGATTCAGCTGTTGACCACGGGTAAAGAGCAGCTGCTACCATGTCTCTATACGAGTAGAATCAATTAATATATAATATTTATTGTTTTTAATTTGTGTTTATACATGTTATTTTTTTTTCAAAACTTAATCTAACAGTATAATATAAATTAAATTATATGTGTTGTTTAATAAAATTTCATACACTGTATTATATAGTAATTAGGTACCTACGCATTTTCTGTTGCTGCCCGATGTTTTAATACATTTCGAAAGTTATTTACAACAATTGTGTTGTCTGGTTCTCTTGCATGACCATTATGTCTTTTTACAATAGTTATAGTTCCATCTATTGATTTTTTAATTGATCCCATACAAAAATGAGATTGCGCTTTGTTACATTTAAAATAACTAAAAAAAAAATTAGAAGAAATTTACACTATAGATACAAATTATAATATTTATCTATTACACCTACAATAAACAATAATTTAACCAAATAAATGTTATTAAAGCATCAATTAAATGTTATTTATAATTTTCAATATAATTATGTATACCTCCTATTCTAATCTACATTAATAATCACATTATAGTAGGTAATATACTAATATAATTTACTTGCTAAATGAAAAACTGTCATATTAACAGTAGTGTTGAAGTAGGAACAACACATGTGGTGGTCAGTAATTTTTTTAACAATACAATATTGTTTTATATGTTTATAAATGTATATAGATATTATGCATAACATAATAAACATTATTTGACACACTATTAAACAATTATTACTAGTTTCATCGAGTTGTAAATTTATTTAACATAATATGTAAATACTTACGTGATTCCATTTTTGAGGCCATTATTGACGTACATAAATCCATCGTGCTCCATTTTAAATAACAATCAAATACAAATATACAATTCAGAAATAGTCAACTAAATCTACGTAGCTACGAGTAGGTTATAAGTTATAACTTATTACAAGGACGAGTTGATCGTGAATGATTCGTGATGAAAATCGATACTCGATAGGGTAGTCAATTGTCTAGTGCCGATATATTTTTGTTATTTTTATAACTTGTGGTTATTTGTTGTTTTTGTTTTCGTATTTATATTTATTTATAACTAATACTAATTGTGTGGAAAGAAGGAAATTAATACCATCCGAATACTGGAATTCCCAATTAGCATTTTACAGAAATTCTCAATTATAATAAATAAAATACCAATTTGGGGGACGAGGTGGCCGAGTGGTCGAACACGTCGTCTGTGGCGCTGGCGGTCGCGGGTTCGATTCTCTCGACCACTGGGTGGCATTTTTCTCCGGGCAAATCACGGTGTCTCATTTTTAAATACTACATCATTTCGTTATTCCTTCTCGTTTAGCACTTAACGGATGTAACTAGTAACTACCCTCTGCATCTTTAACAACGAGCCCGCTAATATTATATTGTAAATTGTTATCTTAAATATTAAATGTATTTTATATTTTATATAAATTATAATTTAAGTTATGTACTTAGTATAAAGTTACTGTTGACGTTATTATACAAATAAATAAATTGTTATAAAAAACTCATGTGGCTTATTGGACCAGTTTTCCTGGTGCATATGCATTTAGTAGGTAAATCGTAGATAAGATATAGAAATATCTTTAAAAAATTAACACATGATAAAATTAAAAACATGAGACATCTTACTAGTTGTCATACGAAATATATAAATGTACCTAATTAGTTATCAAATTATAATATATTTTAATGAAGGAAACTAATTTGTAGCAGTAGCCATAATATAGGTACCAATACTAGGTAAACCTATACAATTTATTTTAATTCTAGAAATTTAAATTAATAGTAAAAAATATATATCGTTTATAGAAATATTATAATATGCACAATTAACTTGATAAACAATATTTTGAATTTCTAAAGTAATTTAAGAAAAAGAAATAATATGTGAAAGAGAATTAGATAATTGTTGTTTTTAAGGAGTACCTATCTACAATAAAGGCAATACGCATGCGGTTTAGGAAGATATACGATATATTATACCTACATGCATATTATTGTTATATAATTATATTATATTATTATTTATATACAATTATTGTCGTGCACCCACTACCCATAAGTACTTGAGCATAATATTATAGGTATCACATGCCAATATCGGGTTACATGCGTTAAATATTATAAAATAACTTATCAAACGATATGACGTATAGACCATAGACGTATAGTAATATATATATATATTTTTTTAATTGTTTTTTATTGACATCGGCGACAAAGGCCATTAGTTACAATTATTTATAATATATATTTTATAAATTTAAATTTTGTTGTAAAGATTGGTTTTACTTAAGAATTTAAGGATTTGTGTGGTGGTAACTGCGTCTGGTCCGAGGGCTGCATCTAGTGTGTTGGGTATTTCAAAGGTTCTTTGTTCATCTGTGTATTGGAGGCATTCGGTGATTACATATTTACATGGTTGACTGAGAGTACCTATAGTAATATTATATTGTGTATGACAGGTGATTTTAACGATTTTTGCAAATTTTTGTCATTTTTACGTATGTTGTCAAAATTTCAACTTTAAATGCTTAGAAAAATAATTGTCACTACGGATTTTCAATATTTTTCATCTACCTTTGAAACAATATATTAGGAGATTTTTATTAAATTTTCAAGAATTTTTACCCAATAAATAACATTTTATTGATATTTATAGAAAAAAAAACTAAAACAATTGGAAACTGAAAATGTCCGTAAACAGCTCGAAATAAGTCAAAATATTTAGAAAACGGTATGCTGTGTAGGAACTGCTTAGATAGAATAGAGAACTATTGGAAGTACAAAACCATGTTTTTGGAAAAAAAAATACGAATTTGCCGTCATGTACTGCTAGGACGACTAGGTATAACAGCGGCAGCGTTCTTAAATAGTACTTCTACCACCACCCCGCGTGCATATGCAGCCGTACTGCACCATAGGTCAAAACTGGTTGTCTATCGCAGCCGCGAAAGGGTTATAAATAGCCAAATACGTCGATACGAAAATAATAATTCTGTCAATGAATAATATTATTTTATTTTTCGATGCTATAATTCGTATTCTTATTACTAGCGTAGCTTACGCAAAATGGAACTACACAATATTATATCATACAATTGTCACTAATCAGCTGGAAAACGTACGATTTAAACAATTTTTTTTTTCATTTATAGACAATTCTTCTATCAAATTAGTGATTTGATATTCAAGACGATTATTTTTAAATTGAAATTAGCATAATAAAAACCGTCCAAGAAGAAGCAAAACACTTCTATAAGCGTTTTCATGATAGTCTCATAGCCCACACAAATCCATTAATCTCCTAAACAACAAACAAACGATGGTTAAATAAGTAGTCACAAAAAAAAAAAATCAATAGGAAGTTTCACTACTTGGTGGCTTCTTCCAACAACTCACTCGTGTCATTGTAATGTAGCCCGTATTCATATTGTGCCTCAGGGTACAGATTGTATATTGCATATTATAAAAAATAAAATTAAAATAAATAAAAATATTAGCATAACTGTATAAAAAAAAGGTAGGTGTCGATCTACTGTACAGGTGGTCTATTGTACAAGTGAGGCATTATACTGAATTGTATTAAATTGAAATCCGATGATATAATATCATTGTATAAGAAAAACGAATCTGAGCTAAGACGGGAGTCAGCCTATGATAATTATATTTTTAACTACAAAATAATTTAAAATTTGACGATTTGACGATTTTTTTCAAAATTCGAATGTTAAATTAAATTTAAAAAATATTTGACCATGTATTATTAATATTTTTCAATTGCTATTGTAACAATAATGGGTGATTCTTTTATCAAACAACACTCATTATTTCAAAAAGTGTAAATTTTTTTGAAGATATTTTTTTACATAGTTTCAAGTCGCTTATAAAACAACGTTTTATTAAAAAATTATATTTTTAATTATTTTTTATCCTTATAATTTTTTAAGTTTTTTACTTTTTGTGAATAATAACTTATTTTTTTAATTTTATATTCCAAAGCAGAATATCTTTCTTAGTATTTTGATACATGAAAATTGAATTTGGGGCGAGTAGTTTATGAGTTATAAGTATTTAAAGTTTGACGAGCGGTGAAGTGGACAAACATTTCGCGGGGTAACCCCGAACCACTCCACTCCGCTCGTCTAAACTTTAAATACTTATAACTCATAAACTACTCAACCCAAATTCAATTTTCATGTATCAAAATACTAAGAAAAATATTCTACTTTGGAATATAAAATTAAAACCCTATGTTGTCATTCAAAAAAGTAAAAAACTTAAAAAATTATAAGGATAAAAAATATTTAAAAATATAATTTTTTAATAAAAACGTTGTTTTATAAGCGACTTGAAACTATGTAAAAAAATATTTTCAAAAAAATTTACACTTTTTGAAATAATGAGTGTTGTTTGATAAAAGAATCACTCAGTATATCAGACACCTTGTGTTAAATTGTCACGCTTCTTGATCCAACAAATTTAATAAGTAATAACAAATTGAAATAGAAAAAAATTTAAAAAATTTAAAATGTCCGTAAACAGCTAAGAAACAGTGAAAGTGTTATAGGAATTGATAAAATATACATAATATGGTGTAAATTATTCAAATTATATACAGCTTTTCATTTTTTTAATTACAGCAAAATAAGATAAATGTTAAACTATATATATATATGATTGTGTAAATAATGAATGTCCTATGTTGTAAAAATTTGAACTTCAGACGCTCATAAAAATTCAATTTGACTTTCCAGTAGAGATATTTTTTCCATAAAATTAGACAAACTTACGAGGAAATTTGTTTTAAATTTTCAAATGTTAGATTTAAAAAGAAAAAATCTGAATTATTGTTATGAATTTCTAACATAAAATAATTGGTAAATTTTCTTCATTTTTAGAATGAAACATATTTAGAACATATTCTGTTATTTTCTATCAAACACAAATTGCTAATGCCTCATACAGTCATACATATAAAAATCATTTACATCTTATTTACAAATATATTTAATCAATATTACGTAACATTATATATTTATTAATTTATATTGTATTCGAAGTATCTAGGTCCTATACTCATTCATTGATAGCTAGATGACTTAGAAGAGCGGTTTCCAAAATTTTTTTCGAATAGTTTTAAATAAACCAAATTCAATTTTCCGCCATGACTCTTTTTTTTCGCGTACCCCTTGAGATTATCTCGAGTACCCCTTGGTTTACGGGCACCCAGTTGGGCACCTCTGACTTAGTATATAGTATTTTTATTTAAGTCATTAGTATGAAATACGTAGTTTAGGTTATATAATGTAATAATTACAGAGCTATACTCGACTATAAAAAGTATCCACCTATGTAAAATTTGAAGAAAAATCCTCGAAAGTACGTCTAATTTTATAAAAATTGACGTTTGAAATTCAAATTTTTACAACATTGAATATTCACTCCATTTCTCACGTAGCGATTTTCTTATTTTATTATAACTCAAAAACGAACAATTTTAAATACTTGCGAATTTCAATAAATGTTTTTATTTACATTTTCTTAACACAATACAAATTTAAAATACTTTGACTCGTTTTGAGCTGTTTACGGACAATTTCAAATTTTTAATTTTTTTAGTTTTTTTGTTTATAAATATTTATAAAATTGTATTCGTTGGGTCGAAAATCTTGCGAATTTAATACAAGACTCCTTATATATTGTAACAATACCTATCAGTTCAAAATATTAAAAAGGTGGGAAAGTGGGTGTCGCTCTGCTATACAGGGTGTCTCAAGTGGGTCACTGTACAATGGATGATATTAAATTTGAATTCAA